TCCCGTTTCCATTTGGCACGCTCCCCGTTGTTCTCCCCCGTACGCGCCGACCCCCGGAAGAGCCGCGACAGGTCCTCCAAGTGCTTGCTCTCTGCCGCCGCCAGGGCCCTCAGGGCCTTATCCAAACGCTTCTGCAGTGACAAGACTTCCTTGTCGCGACTCGCGAGCTGCGCTTCCACTGAGACGAGTCGCGCGCGCAGACTATCCTTGGAGGCCCATTCTTTTGCCGACGGATTTTCCAAATAAGGTCCATTTTCAATTTTAGGGTGGTACGCGCTGCCAGCAAATGTGGGAGACCCGAACGATGGCGACAACTTGTTCGTTCTTACAGGCTTTGAAGCCAGCAAATGCTGACTGATCTCACCCACTTCTTGCTCCAGAGCAAAGCATCGCTCCTCAAGCCGTCCTTTGTCGAGCCGCACTGTCTTGAGTTGCTCTTGTAATCGTTGCACGAGCTCCATGGCACTTTTGAACTGCGGGGGGCCTTCATTCAGATGCAATTCAGGCTTACCTGCTACATATGAGGCATTATATGGACTTGATGGCCGAGAGTGCGAGGCATGCTCCACAGAATAGAAGGGAAGCGGTGTTTGGGGGTGCACATAGGAAGTCATAGGGTGCTTCTGCCTGTGGTACTCGGAGCAGCAAGTGTATATTATGCATATGGGGACAAGATGGGGAGCCGACAATCATCCATCTCGCTTTTTGATATTTTCTTTAATTACCTAACGAGAAAATTTGCTTGCTTTCATGTTACTCGGGGATTCTGCCCAGACAAATAGGGGGATAGACCGGCTGCAAACTGGGCGCAGATTGAACTCTGCTCTCGCCGCTTCAACTCCCGAGGACTTCCGAGCTGAATTTCCCTGAGATTTCCCGTGTTTGCTCTCTGTTTTAAGTTCTTTACGGTATATTGCTATATTTTATGAAAAGGTCGTGCGTTTTCGCAATGGCTCTTAAAGAGGAAAAATACGCACAATGGAAAAGCTTCACGCCGAGCGTCCTCACGCGTGATAGGTAACAACACATGGGGTCGCTCTCACTATCACTCTTTCCTCGCTTTGTTCCCATCCATGTTGATAATAGTCCTCTGCCATTCGTGACTGTATCGTGTTGATTAAATATTGATTCTTATCATGCGCATTTTTGTTTCATGTATCCTGGCATTTAATTTCGTTGTAATGTGTAAATGTGGAAAAGTAAGAATACTGCTTGTACTACACCGCACCCCCTCTCTTGTCCGGAAAACAATGAAGTATGGCAAATGTTTGCCACTTAGTTTGCTAAGCGTCCTCAAAAGAAACTTTAAACGAGATCGCATAAAATGCAGAGCTGTATTTTTCCGGGTCAGGATAGATTATGCCAGAAGTTAGTGGGTGTCGTCTCGTGGAGTTAGTTGCAATCAAATCACAAAAGGTAGCGAATATGTGTGTATTAAAAATTCAGCTTGCTTTCTTTTTTAAGTGGTATCAGCGCAGCACACCACATGTGGTGTGCACGGTCTAGTGAACACACATCTCAGCAACTTGTCGTTTTAGCTTTCTCCCTTTTCAACCCCTTTTTAAATAACGTGACCCTTCACTTACAAATGTGTGGCTTTCATAATCATAAACAATATTCAGTATTCATCCCTTCCCCAAAGTGAAAGTTTGCCGACGCGTACACGAACGAGTGGTGATGTACGTATCCGGGGCATCTGAAAGGCATCCCAGTCCTTCCAAGTAAAGCATTCCGGCGAAACCTCAACCGTATACTTATTCTAAGCTCCCCTTTCGAGCTTGTCCCCTTCCGGAATCGCTACAAATTCCAGTCCCTGAAAGGGACTGTCAACAATTCAAGCACGGCAGATCGAAGATGTCACATAAAGTTGACGTGCGGAAGATGCCCTCTGGATCCTGTCTGAGGACCACCGGGCGGATTCGCTGAATCTGTGCGGCATAGACCTGCTTGATGTAGGGGATGACTTCGGGAGTCCAGTCCTTGTACCACTTGGCCCAGTGCGGCTTGGGCAGGCTCCCATCCTTTGAGCGGATCTGGGTCCATCGAGCCATTACTCGCTTCAGGTATTCTTCCCACCCAGCTGAGGAAACGTGTGTTTGATATATGAGGGAAAGTGAAGGAAGACCCAGGTGCAGGTACCGGTAAGTCGTAGATACAAATTCAGACTAGAGCATGCACAGGAGACACAGATAGTGCCTGGCTGCCTTAAGCCAAACGAGGACAAGAAAGTCCGCGCACGTACGGATCTTATAATCTGAAATATGTCTTAGACCAGACATATACATGTACGTACTCGTGCCGTGCGATGACGTGGGCTCGAGCATGGCAAAGCGCTCCCCAGGTTTTCCGAAGGCGTGAGACAGCGGGCACTCAGAGGCCCCGACCCACCGAATCGCCGCGAAGATGTTGAGAGGAATCATGTCTTTCTCCCGCCACATGTTCTCGCTCTCCTCGATCATGACTCGCCACGCCTCGTAGATGTTTCCAAAGTCATCGTCGACCTGGGGTTGGATGCAGAGTGGGCAGACACGTGGGGGGTGAGAGCCAACAAGCGACAGTCCTCCCCATGCAAGGCTGTTCGACATGTCAGAAAGACAGCACACCCTCTGCTCCCTATCTCTACTCAGACCTTGAAGGCGAACTCAAAGTCCAGTCCGGATGTGATACCGTCGATATACCGCAAGAAGTGGGTGGACCCGGCATTCGATGTGTTGTACGTCACGGATGTCCGGTACGAGAAGGAAGGCGGGTTCATGAAGAGGACCTGTGAAGAGAGGGCGAAGGAAGAACACTCAGGCGCGTAGGAGGGCGAGGTGTGTGGTCACGTCTGTGCGCTTATGCGCCGTGCAGGGCAGGGACAGGGAGGTCGCATGGGGTACGCACCTGGTTGTTGACTACCTGACCCATGAAGGGGGAGTAGTTGGCCCATTTGCTGTTCAGGCGCCAGTCGCCCATGAAGGAGCGGTGAATGCGGGAGCCCGGGATGTTCATCAGCCAGTCCTCCTGGAGAAGGCATCACGGGAGGTCGAGAGAGTCTGATCACCTCGTAAGATCGAAAAACAGAGATTGAGAGTACCCATCGCGTGCACCCCCTCAAACCGAGGACTTACCGGGACGAAAAGGTCCTTGTCGTAGAAAGGTTCGTGCTGGGTGCCCCAGATGGGCAGTCCGTCGCGCGAGGGGCACACCGGGGTACCGGGTAGATTATCGACGGCGTGCGCCCAAACTCCGTCGCTTTGGTGGTATTCTTCGATCATGTTAACGTCCAACTTGGCTGAGCGGAGGAGGGCGCTGTTGTAAGGAGAGTAATTGATAGCCCCACCTGCGTGACTCTCGATGAAGTGCTTGAGCGGGTTGTACGAGTCATTGATAGGCACGCCTCGAGGAGGAAAGAGGTCATAGTACTGCATCTTGGTTTGCGTGACCATCGTGGCGCTCGTGTCGGGGTTGAAGCGTACCGTCACATCCAATACGATACCGCACATGCCGAGGCATGCTGCCATAACACGCAGATCGGGGTGAGAGCTGTCGTAAAACTTTATTTCTCCATTCGCATTAATGATGGTCATAGCAATTATGTAGTCAGGGGTGGGAGGTACGAAGCCTGACCCGTGCGATGCTGTCTGGCATGCCCCCACGAAGGTGATAGGCTGTACCAAGGTGTTCTGATACAAGTAAGAGAAACGTCCATAGCCGCGCGCGGGACTGTCAGCCCAGTCAGCCAGTTCGCTTTGCAGTACACCAGCCTGTACAGTGACGATGCTGTAGTCGTTGGGGCTCTGGGTAATCAGCTTGAAGTTGTCCAGAAACACTACATCCGTGTTATCGTCCGGCAACACGTTCGACCACGAGTGCGCAACCCCCATGACACGTAGTTTGGCACCTTCAGCACGCTTCTGTCGCACTAGTGCTGCCACC